AGGTACTGTAATCCTTTTTTAAAGATGAGACTTGGTTCGATTAGATTCATCTATTCAAGGGTGGGTTACTGGTTTCTCCATGACCCAGCTCCCATGCACAAAGCCCAGCACTCAATCTGTCCTACCTAGTTGTAAAAAGTGCATTTGCACATTGGGCTGGAAGGGTCCTTAGATAACCGACAGATAGGGAAACAAACCCGAGGGACTCAGATGACTCGCTCAGGTTCACACCTTCAGTGGCGTGGTCTTCAGTGGGCACATGCAGAACCAGGGCTGAAACCTCGGCTGCCTGACAGTTGGATCTGTGCTTCTCACACTATAGGTGGCTAATTTTTATAATATTAATTTATTTCAAAAAGTGAAGCCCAGAATCTGAGTAATTAATGTGTTATCAAATGAATCTCTAGAAAAATTTTCAGAAAGCATTTTTAAAATCATCAAGTTGAAAGAACATACTTGGAATATAAGATAAGTGGTCTTTTCTTTGGGGTATCAGGAGAAATACCAAAGGCAGTTAACCAGTTCTTGCTGCAGTATAAAACTAGTTGTTAGCCCTGGCTGGTGTGGCTCAGTAGATCAAGTGCCGGCTTACAAATCAAAAGGTCAGCAGTTCAATTCCCGGTCAGGGCACATGGTGGTTGCCCTTCAGGTCTCCAGTGGAGGGCATGTGAGAGGCAACCACACATTGAAGTCTCTCTCCCTTTCTTTCTCTCCCTTTCCCCCTCTAAAAACATAAATAAAATCTTTTAAAAACAGAATAAAAAACTAGTTGTTAAAGGGAAAGGTGATTTTTAATGCAGTTTCATTTTTAAAGGCAGTTTTCAAGGCTTTGAAGTATTGTTTACTTTTTAAAGTGAGGAACCATTTTTGAGAATCTCTTATTTAAATTTGAAAGCAACAGGCTTTTAAAAATGGGGAATGGTCAGGAGTAGTCTTAATTTCATTTAATAATACAACTACCAAACATTCAAATAGTTTATAAAATAGAATTCTGCCTTTTAGTTTCTGGAAAACAATTTGACAAGGGCCTAAAGCTGGTTCTTATTTCTTCTTTTCACTTGGAAAGATCATGTGACCTTTACAGGGTTAAATACCAGTGGTACCCATCCAGATTCAGGACGAATATCTTCCTTCAGGTTTCTGAGAAGTATATTGTGCCAGTCATTAGTTTGGAATGGAGAGAAATCAAAAAGGGAACACTATGCAAAGACTTAAACTGAAGTATTTTTTTAGACAGTTTTCACATTCTGTGAAAGCTATCTTGGCAATTATATTTATGTACACGATTCCAGAGTTTCAGGGCAAGTTTACTTGCATACTCATGATACTGTAACTGGAAACAGACAACGTTGAGTAACAGGACAAGTTATGCCTGCTTCTTCCTGACAACCTTTTCAAAGGGGCCTTAACCTGCTCCTTTGACTGAAGGCCTGAAGGGGCTGGAAAAACTGATCTCTTAAACTTGACTTTTAGTCAAGGGCATTTTTCTACTTCCTCTAACTTTGCAGGACCCATCAAAGTTTGCCTCTAGTAGCAGAATTTGTAATTTGGGCCTACTGTCATTAATATTTGGCATCCATTTAGAAACTCCCAGAAATCTTTTATGTAATTAATGGGCTAATAATTCTCCAGTTGTAATAAGGTATAATTGTCACTTGGTTTCTCATCCAAAGAGTTGATATTTCAGACCCAAAACGTCTATAAAGGGTACAGGGGACTAGGGATCAAATGGGAGACTGGCAGTAGTACATTTAGAAATTAGATGTCACTTTCATTCTTTTGACTAGAAACGTCATTTCCCCGGGGCCTGGGGGAAGCCCACGGTATTTTCTTGCAGAGGTTGAGCTTCGTGGAGAAGCAAGTCGCTGACACATCCTGAATCCTGCGGGGTGAGGGAAATTTTCAGATTCATTCCTGCTCTTGGTGGAACAGCGTGTAGCTTGCTCAGCCTCAGGGCAGCTAGCTGTTCCTGGTTTTGTGCACGTCGTTAGAGGCTTCCGGGGGAATTCCGTGATGGGGCGCACAGAGGGGTCCCAGTGTTAGGAGGCTGGTGCGCTACCTCCTGCCACTTGGTTGCAGTTTCAAAATCCTCCCCATCGAGTCCCCACCTTGATCCCAGTCCGACTCTTTCCACTCGACTGCTTTCTTGGGTCCTTAGTAAATAGGTAGTTTGAACACTGAACAAACGGGGAATTTTAACCTAAAACTGATGCGGAAGCTATGTTTTCCCAAAATCCTGAGAATTTCAATAGGCATAGCACCTCAAAGACAGCCAATCGACTGTAGTGCAGGCAAGCTGTCTTGATGCATCCAAAGTGCTTAAAGGATCGATTTCCTTGATCCGATAAGTACAAATCCCCCAGAAAACAAGAGCAAAGGAAAGAGAACCAAATACGTGTGCTCTCTGTGCTAAACATTGTCCTTTTTTTTTTCTTTCCATTTTTGCAGGAACCTTTGATGTAAGTAGCATTATTTCCGCTCTCAGAAGACACAGGCTTAGAGCAGAAAAATAATTCAAGCAGAGCACTGCGGAGCTATGCAGATCTGACCAATGCTAAGCCTGTGCTCCTCCTGGCTTCCTCATTTCGGCCTCATGGAGATCTGTGAGGCCCCTGGGTTACGAATAAGGAAACCGAGGTTCGGTTCCTTAAATGAGGTGCCGAAGGCCATGCACCTACGTGATAGTGGAACACCAGGACCCCAATTTAACAATGACAAAAGCTACCTCCTTTAAAAGAGATAAAAGCTAGATAAAGATACAGACATCTACACGTCTAAGCCCCTGAATTAAATATGTGTTCCTGTAAAGCACCATTACAGTTGCCTGACTTTGTAAATCAGTGCTTTGGAGATGTTACTGAAGTGTTACAGGCGTTCATAACCTACACTGACCCCTAGGTAATTCCAGTGTTTACATAGACAAGGTTTAGAATACCTCCTGTGACACTGATTCTTAAATATGTCAGGTCATGTCACTAGTTAATAGTGATTGCTCCTTGTCTTAGAATCACTCCCTGTTGCTGTTAGGAAAAATCAGTAGACTCTGTTCTTCCTAAAAAAAAATGTTGTGGTGAATTAATTTTATCTTTTTCTCTGCTGGCTTATTTATCTTTATCCCAAACTCTGTTTCCATTGCTTCAAGATAAGGGGTGTCTTCTTCTTTTTTTTTTTTTTTTAATTCTGACACTTTCAAATCTTTTCCAGTTACTACCCAAACTTAGTGAAGTTAAAGGTTTTTAACCCCATTCCATATAGTTCTGCTGCTGTGGCTTTTAGTGGGTTTCTATAACTATTTCCTGCTTACCCATCTTAAAAGGGTTTTTTTAAATCTTTATGTGGTCTTTCTTTTAATTCTGCTGTCCCTTCCTCCTCCCCCCTTCTTCTTTCTCATCTTTAAATCAGCAGGTTGCTTCTCTTTTTGATGAACATATTTTCACAAGTGGTCACTGTTTTTGAGAAGCCTCCAAGAACTGAGTAGAGATTAGATCACTGAATTTGAAAAAAAAATAGCGAAGCCTTGGCAGGAAGGGAAATCAAGGTGATTACCGTGGCAGGGTCTTGTGCGATAACCTGCTTTGCACTTGCAGTTTCTAACTGTGCATTGTTTGAATTTCTTGCCCGTTCTACTCACCCTGGCTATTAATCTGCTTTGGGAGGTAGGTGGTTCTGATTGCTTTATATCTCAGCGTCTCTGGAGTAAAGAGTTCCCAGACCTGGTAACTATGAGAGCAAAACATTTAAACACACAGTAAAAATGAGCGGGTGGCAGAAAACTGAAAAAAGACAGACCAAAACAGTTTTGACAGGTTAAATTTATCCTAACTGCCCAACAAAGGAAGTAGGGCTTGGAGGTTTATCTGCAAGGGTTTTTCAGCTCCACCCTTTCGTGGGGGAGAACCATACACTGGTTGCCGCCGGGGGGGGGGGGGGTGCGCAGTAGCTATTGGGGAGACGCATCATGAAATACTTCTGAAAGGGGACCACTCTAGGAGCCCACAGTTACTCAGAAAAGTCGGTAGTATTAAGAGAGGAGAAAGGGCCTAGTGATTCGGAGGACAGACTTGAAACTCCAACATTTCTCCGTAGCTTGTCGTGAATATTTGTGTAGACCTGTGGAACACAGAGAGATGGAGTCAGTATCTACTTGAAAACTAGCTCTCAGTTTACCAAACATAAGCCAGGTAACAGGTGCTTATCTCCCTGATCCTCGGCTGCAAACGCTGAGGAGGATGCGTTACCTCCATTTGGCAGACGGGGGCTCTGAGCTTCTCGGGAGGCGGAGTCCTTGTCCCAGGCCACCCAGCTAGTAGGTGCGGGAGGCTGGATTGGAACCAAACACTTTTATCTGTGGACCCAGTGCCTTTGTTTTTATCCACTAAGCGGCAACGTGATTTCACGTCTGAGCCGTTTCTTGGCCGAACAAGTTGGAAACCACTGGTTTCACAGATTAGAAATCACTGGTTGTGCGCCCCTGGATTCCCTCCCTAGCCACTTGAAGCTGCTCGATCGCTCCTGGCCCCGACATCCCTGTCTGCACAGTGCAGGCGGCACCGTACCAGGCCCCACACCCACCGCGCAGCGCTGCAGGGCTCCGGGGCCTCCGCGGTTCCCGCGCCGTGCGGAAGGCGCACCCCCAGCGGACTCGGGTCGGCGCCAATGGCTGCCGGGGAAGAGCTCCGTCCTCGAGTGCACGGGGGCGCTGCGCGCACGGGCGCCACCTCCGGCCCGGCAGAGCACCGGTAATAACAGGGGCCGGCTCTGTTCAAAGGAGAGTGGCTGTCCTAAGAGCAGACAGTGCGGCAGCTATTAAGTAATAAAAAATACTGGCGGGGGTACCCCTCCCGCCTCCCTCGGCGTCCTTCCGCACCTCCGGGCGCGCCCGCGGGGCGGAGGGCACCTGGGGGAGGGTGGGCCGCGGCGCGTGCGCGAGCTGTCAGCTGGCCCCGCCCCGGCGCGTGGCCCCGCCCCCGCCCCGCCCTCCGCACTCCCTCCCCTCGCTCTCCGGGTGTGGGGCGGGCTGGCTGGCGCTGCGGCTGCCGGGCTGCTCCTTCCTCGGGCCATTTTGCCGAAGAGCGACCGGGAGGAGGAGCCGCCGAAGAGACCCTAGGCGAGCAGTAGCGAGCCGGAGGACGCGGCGGCAGCGCGGGCCTGGGCTTCCCTCGATCGCGGGGATCTCGAGGGGCGAAAGGATCGCCAGGGAGGGGGACCGGAGAGCCGCGCCCGCCGCGCGGCGCGCCCCTTCCCGCCCCCTGCACCATGAGCTGGGGTACCGAGCTCTGGGTGAGTGAGGGGCTGGGCCCGCGGGGCTGCGGGGGACGGCTGCCGGCGCGCCTGGGCTGGGGACGCGGGCCGGGCTGCCGCGGTGGGGGCGATGGCGCGCGGGTCCGGGTGCCCCTCGCGGGCCTTGGCCGGAGCAGGGGGTGCGAGCCGGATTCACGCTTCCGAGGCGAGGGGAGCGGGTGTGGGTCCTCGCGGCGGCCTGAGCAGGGGGCGCGGGGCTGGGTCCCCCAGGCGGCCGGAGGCCGGCGGTGTTCGTAGGGAAGAACCTCAATCCCTCGGGGTGAGTAACCGAGGCGCCGCGAACTGGCTTCGGTGGGGGCGTGGAAGCCCTCGGCTTTGGGGGGCCGCGTTCTGTGTTAGGGCGCGCAGTCCCGAGTTCCTGGGGCTGCTCTGCGTGCGCGGAGGCGCGGCCGAGCGGGCTCTGCTCCCGGGGGCGGGGCGGCCCCGGTGGGGCCGGGTCCCGCAGCCTGGGTTTGGGGGCGCGGGGTCTGGAAGCGGCGACTTCCCTCTAGAGGCGAGGACTTTCCGACCTGTGGCGGTTTGGGGCGCACTTGTATCGCTCTCGGTGGGAAGCTCAGATCCTGATTTTGATGCGGGGACTGCGGCGTTTGGCCTGGAGGGGAAAGTTCGGGGGGGTTCACCTTCAGAAAGAGGCATTCGCGGGGTAATCATTCTTCAACTGCTCAGAGGAAACAGTTGGAAATGGGGAAGGCTGGCGGCGAGGGGCGCCCCACAGAGGTCCTTCGCCTGGGGGTGCGGTGCGTAAACCAGCGGCGTAGTGCCGGGAAGCCTGCGTCCCGCACCGGGGCGAACTGGGAATACCGGGCAGCGCACAGGTCACCCCGGGAGCGCAGGCTGTGGGGGGCGCGATGGGGCTCGCGTCCCTGCCTTCCTCTGGATTCCTGGGGAGGTCACTGGGCGAGGGATGGGCAGCGCAGGGTCCGGCGCGGGGAGAGGAGGAAATCTCAATTACGGCACCGAACCGTCCCTCCGGACGAGACATTTCCCATGATGAACTCAAAAGTGCCTCTTCGGAATCCCATTTGGAAAGGGTGTGGAGCGGCGAGTGTAGGGTGGTGGTTGCTCTCTGAGCTGAGGCCAGGGAGGCTCACCCCGAAATAAAACAAGGGTAGAGCTATAGAAACAGAGCACATCCTCCTTTAATTATTATTTTTTTTTGCTTTAATTGTTCTTACATAACCATTTCTTAGACTCAGAAGCACCTACGGTTATTAACCAAAATCCTGAAGGCAATGGCCCCTTTAAATTAAGATAATCCATTTAATAAACATCCTCTGTCTAAAGGAACCCGAGAGTTTGGGCTGATGTTTACAAATATTCCCCTTTAAAATAAAATAACAGATGGTTGAAAATATTTGCTCACACCTAATTAGGCAGAATCTACCGTTTTAAATGTGTTTCTTCCCTCTGCTGTCTCTGCTCCACTCCCTTTGACTGTTTTCAGCTTAGCTGGGGGAGGGGGAGCAAATCAGAAGTGATTTTTATCAAGAGAATGGAAATTTTGGCACAATCCCCACCCCCCTACTTGTTTAAACAAGAAAAGGGGATTCTGGGGGGCGGGAAACTACAGTGTATTTCTGAGCGAACTAGGCTGTGGTTAAAGGGACCGAACACAGGGGGGTATTCCACCCCCTGCGACGCTGGTGCATGCTACAGAAGCTGACCCAGGCAGGGGAGTGGCCGTGGGGAGAAGGGAAATGGTCCACCAGGCCCAACGGCCTGCGTTCTTCTGTGCACTTGGCGGGGGGCGCAGTGGAGGGGAGGGGAGGAGCTGTTGAAGATAAACGGGAACTGGAATATATGTGAATGATGCGAAGTCTTAGATTTGTTCCAGAGGATCTGGGGTGGTAGCGGGCGGGCACCGCGATGGAAGAAAGGCGTCAGGCCCTGGCCGGTGTGGCTCACTGGGCTGGGCGTCCCTCCCCACAAGCGCGACGACACCTGTTGGACCCCGGGTCCGGGCACAAGCCTGCAGGTTTGGTGCAGGTTTGGTTCCGTAGGGGGCGCGCGAAAGGCAATCAGTGGGTGTTTCTCCCCCTCTCTTGCTCCCTCCCTTCCTCTCTCCCTGCAAAACGACCAAACAGACAAATAAATGATTGAAAAGGAGAAGCAGTCAGGAGTGACCGGGCCGTTGTCGAAGCTGGGTGATGGGGACAGGGGGGCGCATGACCGCTGTGCTTTTGACTGCTTGTGCTTGAGCTGTTCTACAACAACACTAGCTGGAAAAGATTTCGAAGGAGGGAGGTTTGTGAAGCGCCTGACATTTTCTTTTGCTTGGTAAGTTTATGAGGAAGAGTGAGTCAGTTCGCAGTTGTGTATACGCAAGCATGTGTCAGGGAAGAGTTGTTGTTGTTTTTCTAAAGACGTTCGTTGGAGTATCGGCTTTGGCCCTGGAGCGGCTTAGAGTTTTCATGGAGGGAAAGGAATAACACATTTATTTGCTCTAATAAGCAAAGTGCAAAATCTTTGAGTTTTAAGGTGAAATACGAAGAAGTATGAAGGCAACAAAATGTCTGTTTTCAGTTGCCTTATTTTATGAGTATTTGAAATTTTTTTTTTAAAAAAGGACTCATTCGATTCCCAGTCAGGGTACATGCCTGGGTTGCAGGCCATGACCCCCAGCAACTGCACATTGATGTTTATCTCTCTCTCTCTCTCTATCTCCCTCCCTTCCCTCTCTAAAAATAAATAAATAAAATCTAAAAAAAAATTTAAAAAAGGGACCCATGAAGGGTTCTGAAAAATAAACTCCAGTTCTGTGGTGTGCTGCGTGGTGCTGGGCGGTGCTGGGCGGTGCTGGGCAGCGTCGGCCGCCCAGCCAGGGCAGCGATTGAGGGTTTTCCATGAATGGCGGCATTGGGGTGTCCAGAGATGATGACGGGGCGCTCGGGCATAACTTGGCCGAGTCCCGCTTCTAGATGGAGAGAGACAGAGCTGTGGTTTGGGCGCCCTGAGTGATTTGCACCAGGTGGTTGCAGCTTTCGTGACCTTCACAAATAGCTTCCCGTGTCCGCACACTTGAGGACTTTTCTCGAAGTCCATATAGATGTAAAAAAAAAATCTTATATCTCCTCAGGTGAACATAGCACTACTGACTGTCTATTACATCCCATGGAGAACTTCAGTCTTAGGTCAGCTTTTGGTCCCATAAGCTCTCTGAGAAATGACATACAGACTTTTAAAAACTGCAGGTTTCTAAGGTGCACTTTACATGAAAGTCTCACTCTCTACCCACATCCTGCTTTGTGGAGGGAGTAAAACCTCCTCCCCCCCACACTTGTACAGCACTAAACCTTCATATTCTAGGAAATTTTTAGAATTGTCAGGAAGTTATCATACAACTATAAAAATGGACTCAAAACCCATAATTTGTAATGACTTTATTGGCTTAGTTTGTATTTAAAGATTTTTATTTATTTATTTTTAGAGAGAGGGGAAGGGAGGGAGAGAGGGAGAGAAACATCAATGTGTGGTTGCCTCTTGCGCGCCCCCTACTGGGGACCTGGCCCGCAACCCAGGCATGTGCCCCGACCGGGAATCAAACCAGAGACCCTTTGGTTTGCTGGCCAGCACTCAGTCCACTGAGCCACACCAGCCAGGGCCTATTGGCTTAGTTTGTATTTAAACTGCGGCTTTCTATTTTGTATCAGGTCAAAGTGTAAATGGCTGTTTTAAAGGGATTGGGTTACAATAAAATTGTTTCTGTACAACTATTCATAACCTTGCTGTTTAATCCAGGTTTTAGAATTTGTATTGAGCAGCAACTACATGCAAGGCACCCATCTGAATCTAAGTTACATTACATACATTGAAGGATACCGACTTATTTTGGTAAAGATGTACAAAGGAGGTCTTAACCCTGGCCTACAACATCAGAGTGGAAAGAGAGATTTACATTTGTTTGTCAGAAGAACCCAATGAATTTACTCAAGACTTTGTTTTAAGAGTCAAGATAACAGAGTAAATTAGGTCACACTGAGTTATTGAAGTTGTGACTGGTCATTGAGAAATGGCAAAGCAAGAGTTTCTTACATTTGAAGTTTTTTTTCTTTCTTTCTTACCTACTTATTAGAAAGAAGTGACAAGTTATAGAAGTATCAGGTCAATGTTTTATTAGCTTGATCATTGCTGTGAAGTGAAAATAAATCCATTTGCAATTTTAGCTTTCCGCATAACCATGCTAATCTTTACAGGCAGCAAATTACTGGGCGACAGAAGCTGCTTTTTTTCCCAAGTGTCCTCGCTGCCATCTTTATTTGTTTATCTTGGTGCTAGTAAGAAACAGAGGAGCCCAAAGCACTAAAAGCAAGAAAATGACCAGAGAGCCTTGGCCAGAATGGCTCAGTTGGGTGGGCGTTGCCCTGCAGACCGAAAAGTCGCTGGTTCGATTCCCTGTCCTCCCGTGCCTTGGTTGCGGGTTTAGTCCCCAGTGGGGGGAGGAGGGGGCGTGTGAGAGGCATCTCAGACACATCGAGGAGTCTCTCCCTCTCTTTCTCCCTCCCTCCCCCTCTCTCTGGAGTCAATGAAAAGGAAAAAAAAAAAGTGAACAGAGAGACCTGAACAAGACAGATTGGTTCGCTTAGTAAAAACCCACCTGTGTCGACCGTAGGTAGGTTGTTTTTAAACCTGTGCCTGTAGGACAAGGCCGGGCATACACTGCGCACCCCGCACCGCGCTGACTGCGGCGACCGGCTGTGGAATGCGCTCCCGAGAGCAGCGCTGGGAGAGGCACCTCCCACTGCCCTGGGAACAATGCCTGACTCATGTCGTGGGAGTCTGATAAATATTTATTGAGTAAATGAATGAATCCTTCTCCCCCCTTTTGTTTTAACATTGGCTTTTTTAAAGTAATGGGAGAATAATATTAACACCTTTCTGCACTTGAGTGGTTGTGAGCACTATGTACACTTCTTTTTTAAAATTTAATTTTTTTTTCATTTGTTGTCATTCTAGGCCCCTCTCTCTTTGATAGACTTTAT